AACCACTCCATGAGGACACCGCTGCCCAGCCTCGGCGCTTCCTCCGCCGAGCCTGCCTGTCCCGCCCGGCCCCCTGTCCCTGTGCCATCTTGTCCATCCCCCTGTCTCTGTGAGTGGGGCTGTGCTTGCCCTGGGAGTGGAGGGGGGGGCGTGGGGAGCACGGCCGGGAGATGTAGCCGCCGCTTTGTGTCAGCTGCACGAGCGAGTGTCCTGTGTCTGCCGTGGGGGAGCCCTCACCACCAACCCTCCCCCACTGTCCTGTTGTGGCCCGGGCTGGGCACCGGGGCTGTCCGGAGCTTGGGTCCCCGTCCACAGGGTCTTGTGTGTGGGGCCTAGCTGCCTCCCCTGCCCTGTTGCTCAAGCCAACAGCACAAGGAGGGCTGGAGCCAAGGATGGGCAAGGCAGCCAGGCCTGGCCAGATAGAAGCAGGGCACCCCGGTTGGAGGCAAGATAAATGTCTCATGCCTCAGAAGGTGCTGCCCCTAGAGAGTGAGGGAGGGGAAGATTGTGAGCTGCTGGCTGTTCTCACGGTTCACCCCAGATGTAAGAGCACCGCCACCTCCCAGCGCGTGCCCAGCCTTGTGCCTGAGGATACAGAGGTGGAGACCTTCCCCACCCCACCTTGGGGGCCACAGATGGAGAATGAGGACCAGCCTTGGCATGTTTTCCCCTCACTCAGGTTGCCCAGGGTCGGTGGTCAGTGTAGAAGCTGTAAAGATTGGGGGAGGCTCATTTCGTTCACAGAGACAGGCACTGGCGGCGGGGGTAGGGTGGGCAGGGGTTCCCCTTGTCCGTTTGTGGCTTTGACCCGGTCCCAACCAGTAGGGCCTGAAGTCCAGGGAGGTCTGAACTTCGCTATGTGTCTCGTGTCTGTGCCTCAGCCCCCTGCAGCCCAGCTGCTGGTGTTGGTCCCAACCCCCCCCCCCAGCCCAGAGCAACAGCCTCTTGCCTCCCCCAGTCCGTCCTCTCTGCACATCACCAACCTCATTTTTCCAAGACCAGACTATTCATTCAATAGGAGTTACTTCAATAGCTGCTTTGTGCTAGGACTGGGGCTCAGCAGCAAAACAGACCTTGTGGAGTTTCCAGTCAGGAGGAGTCACACAGACAACTACAAACTGAGAAGTGCTATGGAAAAAACATGACGTCGGAATGGGATCTTGTCTGTAGGTCAGGGAGGGCTTCCTGTAAGAGGCAGCATGTAAGCTGAGATCAGGGTAAACAGGAGGTGTGGGGGTTGGGCAGCAGCATTCCAGGAAGAGATGCTGGGACTGGAGGGAGGCAGCTTGATCCAGAGTCTCTGGAAACATGGTGAAGCTACACAGGGAGATTTGAGGTGGAGAGGGGAGGCCAGAGGAAGGGTTGGCTTTTGTCACCCTGAGAGCCATGGGGTGCCAGTAACAGGTTCTGCGCAGGAAGGAACAATCACCTGGGCTGCTGATAGAGAAGTTCCAGGGAGCACAGGGAAGACTGATAAGTGTAGGAGGGGATGGCGGGAGTGGACAGCCTCCAGAGGGACAGGAGAAGCAGCTGAGTGAGCTTGCCAGTGGCTTCATGTCATAGGTGAAAAGGGGCCAGCCATCAGGTCCTTTCTTCCCAGAAGACCGGAGCTTGACCCTGGGTAGCCACAAGGAGGCCGCTGGGGACTTTAGCCAGACCTGAGTTTGTGGGGCTGCAGATTCCAAGCCTGGCTAGGCAGTGTGAGTGATGCGGGAGGGTCACCAGTCTTGCGAGATTGAGCTGTAAGAATAGGAAAGAGTATGAATTAGGGGATTTGGAGGCAGCAGAGGTGTGAGCAGGGCATGAGCAGGAAGGACATTTTTCTGCAGGCGGAGTCTCCATACTGAGGGGACAGAAAACAGGTGCGGGCATGGCAGTGATTGAAGGGGGAGCCTTCCTTAGAGTGGGAGGGGTGGCTGACGCCTGCCAGAGCACAGGGGGTGGGCCTGCAGTGGGAACCAGCTCCTAGGGAGGGAGCCACAGGCAGCACCGTGGTGATGGTCATGGTCAGCCCCGGGGAGTGTGGCAGGGAGCTCTGATTTAGAGTTTGTGGACATCTATGGTGGGCTCTCGCCATGGCCAGTGTCAAACCACCAGCCTGACTTTGCTGGCAGGGCATTTTGAAAACTGGCCTGGGTTCAGAGCCCTGCAACAGTGTGTGGCTGTGGAATTGGGACAAAGAACAGGTGGGGGCAGGCGGACAGGGACCCGTAGGTCTGCAGCCCAGATAGCCAGGTGCTTCCGGTCTTTCCACCCAGGGCACTCGAGTCTGCCCCATTTCTTCCTTGCATTCTCTCACTTGGCCTATGGCATTTCTGTTCCCTCCTTCCTTTTCTCTCATCCTTGTGCCATGTGCTGGCTGCTGGCTTAGCATAGACAAGGAAGACACAGTTCTTACCCCATGGAGCTCGTGATTAATAGGGATCCCACTCAGGCTCAACCTGGTGCCTGGAAATCCGGTGAGGTAGAGGGGGCAGGAGCCGCAGGGGCAGAGAATGGGGCGCTTCTGACAACGGAAGGGCACTGCCAGGGTAAAGGTGCTGGGGGGCCCTAGCCTGGTCCTCAGGTGCCAACAGGGGGCTTTCAGGAACACAACGAAGCTGGAGAGAAAGCAGGGCCCAGACCCCACCCAGATCCACAGATCCCATGAGATTTTGCACAAAGATGGCCAGTGGTGAGGACCAAGGAGTGATGTGGTCCTTTCTGCATCTTAGAAAAATGATCCTGGCTACAATCTGGCCCTGGGAGTGGGAGTGTACGGAGTGGAGACAGGGAGACAGTGGGGAGGCAGCAGCTGGCCAGGTAGGAGGTGACCGGCGACGGCCCAGGCTGGGGAAGCCATCGGAGGTAGAGAGGAAGGTGAACGCAGTTAGCATTTTACTGATCTGAGCGCTCACTACCGGCCAGGCCCTATTCTCAAGACCCTAGAGGTATCCTCTCATGCCCCCCGTCTTAGCATGGAGATGCATGCTGAAGAAACAGGCTTGGCAACCAGAGGACCAGGCATGGCGGTCTAGGAGTAGCAAGAGGAAATTGAACTGGTGGCTCTGATTTGACCCGGGGGGTGGGGGGTTGCCATCCCTGAGACCCTAGCCCGGGACAAGCATGGGCCAGAGGTTGGAGACTAGGAGAGCTGGGGATGGGTGTATTGTCTGGGGGCCTTCAGGACATCCAGGTAGAGATGGCCCCTGCAGGATCAGGCATTCAGGCCCACAGCTCCGGGAGAAGCCTGCTTGATAGCAGAGGTTTGGGGATCATGAACAGAGCAATGGCGCTGGAAGCTGTTGGCATGGGCAAATTTGGCAGGGACGCAGTTGGAGGGAGAGGAGAGGCACAAGCGCAAGAAGCTGCCGTGTGAGGGGCCAGGGAGGAAGGGTGGTGGCAAAGGAGCTGCTAAGGCCTCCAGGAGCAAGCAGGGGAGGGGAACAGAGGAAGTGGATGTTCCGGTGCCTTCCACAAGGCAGAGACAGGTGGAGAAGCGTCCACTAGAAACAAAGAACAGGGTTATTGCCAGGCCTTGCTGGAGCAGTTGTCATGGGGCAGTGGGGGCAGGAGCGAGAAGGGCTGAGTGGCAGACCAGGGAGCCGGGCCACATCGGGGCCTGCCTTTCCACAGCGTGGCCGTGGCCGTGCTCGCGAAGGTGATGGGGACAGCGGGTGGAGGTAGCTAAGGGCTTACTGTTGAGAAATGAAGATTTCCTTTTAGCGTGTCCTAAAATTTTCCACTTACCGCCTTGATTTTAATTAATTTGTAGAGCTTCAGTAACTTACTCCTACTGGGAACTTACAAAGTACAGTGAAACTTCAGCTAGCCAGAATTCTTGGCAAATGAGCCAGCCACTCTGGAAAATGAGCATTTATTTGAGTGAAAATATTTGAAATGTAGGATTTCTTTTTTTAAAACATTTTGAGTATGGAAATAATCACATAAACATATGCAGTAGAGGGAAGATTCTAATGAATGCCTACATCCTAACCATCCAACCTGAGCAGCAGCTCCAGACCAATCCTGTGCCCTCCGTGCCCCCTTGCTTCCCACCAAGCTCTAAGCTCCGGGACCCTTGGAAGCAGATCCTAGACATGATATCAATTCATTGACACAGCTTTCCTACGTTTCTCTAAAAGACAGAACATTTTTTAATACTTTATTTAATACTTATTTTATTTTATTTTAATTCATTTTAATTAAATTTAAATAATCATTTAATTATAATTTAATAATTATATTATCAATAATATATTAATATATAATTGATATAGTGATAATTAAATATAAATTTAATTAAATGATTGATTTAATTTAATATTATTTATTTGACAGAGACACAGCGAGAGAAGGAACACAAACAGGGAGAGTGGGAGAGGGAGAGGGAGAAGCAGGCCCCCCACTGAGGAGGGAACCCGACATAGGGCTCAATCCCAGGACCCTGGAATTACGACCTGAGCCGAAGGCAGATGCTTAACCAACTGAGATACCCAGGCGCCCCCAAAACACTTTTTTTTTTTAATATATTTTTAAAAAGAGTTTATTTATTTATTTGACGGACAGGGATCACAAGTAGGCAGAGCAGCAGGCAGAGAGTGCAGGGAAGCAGGCTCCCCGCTGAGCAGAGAGCCAGACGCATCTGGCTCGATTCCAGGACCCTGAGATCACGACTGGAGCCGAAGGTAGAGGCTTTAACCCACTGAGCCACCCAGGCACCCCCCAAAACACTTTTTAAAAACGTAACCACAGTACCAGTATTACTCCTAAAGTCTTTAACAGTAATTCCTTCTTTTAATCAAGTATTCATTGTTCAGATTTCCCCCAATAGTCTCATTTTTCCCTAATTGGTTGTTTAAAAGGAGGCTCCAAACAAGGTCCACACATTGCATTTATTTGCTCTGGTAGGACTCCCTTTCTCTTCTTCATGTAATTTATGTGTGGAGGAAACCAGGCTGCTTGGAGGCCTGAGTGTCAGGAATGTGGGACTGAGCTGAGCGCCCCAGCAGAGCGAGCGAGCGGGACAGGGAAGGCTGGGGGTGGGTTGGGGATAATGACCAGAGGGTCGGGACTCCTGTCTGCAGGAAGGAGGCAGGAGGTGGAGGCACTGAGCAAAGGGAGAGGCTAGGGCTGCTGGGGGCCAGGGCCTGTTCTTATGATCCTTGATGCCTCTCGGCTGCCGGAGCTGACAGAAGGTGGGAAGATGTGCTGAGCCCAGGAACAGGGGCAGAACTGGGTGGGTGAGAGGCCAGGGGTCAGGCTGGAGATGAGGGAGGGGCTGGGCCTGAGGTCAGGCCTAGAAGGAACAGGATGTCTGTGTCAGGGATGAAGGGAGAGAACAGGGCCAGAAACCAGCTCCTCCCCACCTGGCCCTGTCCCCGGAGCCCCTCCCTGCCCTGCCAGCTTCAGCTCCTCCCAGGGGCCCAGACACCAGATCCCTTCGCAATGCTGGTGGTCAGTGGCCCAGAGCCCTTGTTCTGCCTTCTCCTCCTCCTGCTCCTGGGCCCCTACAGCTCTGCGGGGGCCAGTCCTCCTCACAGAAGGTTTGAGTACAAGCTCAGCTTCAAAGGACCAAGACTGGCGTTGCCTGGGGCAGGAATACCCTTCTGGAGTCATCATGGAGGTGAGGGGTGGGGTAGGGACCCTCTGGAGGGGCTGACCAGCTCTAGGTGGCTGTGACTCAGTGGGGAGTGGGCCTGCTGGTACCAGCTGCTGCCCAAGATGGAGCCAGGCCTGGGCAGGCAGTGGCCTCAGCCCCAGGAACCCTCCCAGGCTTGTCTTCCTTCTCCACCACCACAACACCACTGCCATCCACCAGTCTCCATTTCTCCCCTCTGCCTCTCTCTTTCTCTGCCGTAGGACTTCCCTCTTCTCCTTTTGCCTCTCCTTGGAACCCCTTCTTCCTCTGCCTGTTGGACCCATAAGCACACACACACGCTTGCTCACATGCTGAGTCCCAGACACAGATGCAAGGGCAACTTGGACCAGAACCTGCCTCCCCTCTCCCTGCACCTTGCTGCCAGGCCTGTGGATGTCTGTGAGAACTGCGGGCTGCTGGAGGGAGGTACCCTCGTGGCCAGCTGTTTTGCCAGAGAGGGCACCAGCTCTGCTCTGTGTCTGTGTTGGTTGGAAGCAGGCGTGAGAGCATGCTTCAGAAACTTCCTTCAGAAACTTCAGAAACTTCCAAGCCTAGGCCTCCATAGTCTGTCTTCGACTCGATCTTGTTCAAAAAGGATTTTTTTTTCCCCCTGAGGCAGAGCTCAGTATCACAACCCTGAGATCATGACCTGAGTCAAAATCAAGAGTCGGATGCTTAACCCACCCAGGTACCTGTCAAAAAGGCTTTCCGAGGACTTACAAGGACCCATGTAGTACCGAGGAGCTTAAAATAGGAATGAACAAGACTCAGGGTTAAGGCTGAGGCAGGAGATGAGTCCGGGAACATGGCTTGTCACCAAAACAGGCCATGGGGTCTGCCCGCCCTTCAGAGTTCGGCCATGGATCTGGTTCAGAGCCACCCAACAGGCAAAGCAAAGAGAGAAAGCAGATCCACTAGGTACTTCTGTGTCTGTGAGAAAGGGCATGATTCCTGACTGAGACCAGAACGAATATCCCTTTAAGATTACAGGCTCTGTCAGAAGGGTCTTTGGACCAATTTTCCTCACAGAGACTTGGGAGGTAAACAAGGAAAGGGGCCAATTCTCACAGCACCAAGCCAGACCCTGCCTCAGGCCTACGATGGCAGGGCCTGTAAAACACACCCTGTTCTGGGCCCGGTTGAGTCTGGAGTGTCCCAGACCCTATGAGGGAGCAGAGGCGCATTCTCCAAGATCACATGGTGATATGTGTCCTGTCCATTCGTGTACTCCCTCATCCTTTTACCAGACTTCCCCCAGCACGGCCCTCTGTGCCCAGCCCAGAGACCCAGAGCTGTCAGCCTCAAGGAGTCACAGTTTGGGGGTGAGGTCTCACGGATAAGCCATGTAAAGCTGAATGCATTAGTGCCCTGTACAGCGGACCATCCTTGCCTCCTGCAAGTCACTTCAGAGGCAGTGGTGGCTTCTAAGCAACCCCAGGACATCTGGCCTTGCTGCCTCTGAGCCTCCCTGCCCCCAGCCCTGGCCTTGCTGAGCAAACACCCTGGATTAGCCATCTCCGGAAAGTCCTGGCAAGGCCTGGACCTTGGGCCAGGTTCCAGGCTGGCAGGCCAGAGAGGTGGGGAACCAGCTGGGGTGAGGCCTCTGATCTCCTTACCCCTGATTCCTGCCAAGCCTGCCTCAGTTTCTCTCCCCTTTCCTTCCTCCTCCCAGACAGGCCTCCCCCTAGGCACAGCCACTGAGAATTCACACACACACACACACACACACACACACACACACACACACTCCATCCTCCACCCTTTCCTTATGGTCCTGCCAGCCAGTTCCCACCTTTGCTTGCATGCTTTCCCCTAGGTACCCCCCCCAGGAAGCCCCCGGCCTCATTTGGCTACACCAGAGTCTCTCCCTGCTTCCACAGCCTGGAGTCCTGAACCCCAGCGTGGCTGTTCTTGCAAAGCACTCTGCTGTGTCCTTTGGCCTCGGGCACATCCTCTTCCTTCACAGGGCCTGTTTTCTCACCTGAGATGTGGAAAGGGGTGACACAAATCTCTCCTGTGATAGAAAAAGCTGACGCTTGAACAACACAGGGGCTGGGGAGCCGAGCCCACACACAGTGCAAAATTAGGGTATAACTTATGATGCACCCAAAACTTAACTGTTCATAGTTTGACCAGAAGCGTTACAGATACCCAGATGGCCAAGTAACACATATTTTGTATGTTATATGTATTATATACCAGATTCTTATAAAAAGGTAAGCCAGAGAGAAGAAAGTGTTATCAAAAAAATCATAAAGAAGATGGGAGCCTGGGTGGCTAATTCCGTTAAACACCCAGTCCTTGGTTTTGGCTCAGGTCATGATCTCAAGGTCCGGGGATCAGGCTCCACACTCAGCACAGAGTCTGCTCGAGACTCTTCCCCCGCCTTCCCTTCCCCTCCGCTCCTCCCCCGTTCATGCTCGTGCTCTCTGACACTCTAAAAAATTTTTTTAAAAGGAAGAAAAAAGAAAATCATAAGGAAAAAAATACATTTTCAGTATCATACTGTATTTATCAAAAACACTTGCATATAAATGGACCTGTGCCACATGCAGCCGTGTTGTTCAAGGGTCAGCTGTACTTGGAATCCCATGGAGCCGAGTTTGAATTCCTTAACTGTTCGGAGCCTCGGTTTCCTTGGGTAAATGGGGTCTTTAAAAAGCAGGCCATACAGACTTGTAGGGCGGCTTGCGTGAGAAGTCAGGTAAAGCACCACCCCGTGGGTCTGGGGTCCGTTGCCCTCCCCTGGCAAAACCCCCCACCCCCTGGCTGTGCTGGGCTCCAGCTCCCCCTTCCTCAGTGGGTTCCCATATCCAACAGGCCTGTTATTTACTGGCAGGCCTTGATGTTCCCTCCTTTCCCCCGCTCCCCGGTCCCAGCCCAGGTAGAGAGACAATGATGGGAGAAGCGGGGGCGGTGGGGCCCCAGGCCTGAGCTGCCCTGGTCTGCAGATGCCATGCTGGGCCCGGAAGAAGTGCGGCTGGTCCCGTCCATGCAGAACCGCAGTGGCGCCGTGTGGAGCAGGGTCCCTGTCCTCTTCTCTGCCTGGGAGGTGGAGATGCAGATGCGGGTGACTGGGCCAGGGCACCAGGGAGCCAGGGGCATGGTGAGTGGCCCCAACCAGGGCCTGACAGAGGGGGTGAGGCAGGGAGATGGGTGGTGAGCCTGAGGTTCCGCTGTCCTGAGGGACCCCCTGGGGACTGAGCCGCTGGGGACCCGCAGGCCGTGTGGTACACCCGGGACAGGGGCCAAGTAGGCTCCGTCCCGGAGGGGCCAACCTCGTGGGATGGCATCGGGATCCTCTTCGACTCCTCAGCTGAGGACAGCCAGGTGAGAGTAATTTCCCACCCCCCACCACCCACACTGTCCCCCTCCTCCCTGTGCCTGTAGCTCAGGCTGCCCATCACACCCCCCCACCCCCATGCAGAACAGCCCCGCCGTCCGTGTGCTGGCCAGCGATGGACACACTCGCTATGAGGCACGTGGGTAAGGGCCTGTCTGGACAGACTCCTACCCCTCTCCTGGGCCACGAGGGCCTCAGCGGTTACCCACACCGCCGACTCAGGCCCCTGCCCCAGCTTCTGATGGGATCCCCCCACCCCACCCCACCAGGACTGTCCCCTCCCCGAGGGCCTCTCATCTGAGCTGCTTGCTGCTGCCCTGAACTCTCTCCCACTTGGTCCCAGCTGGGCCCAGTAACTGCCCCACTGAGTCCTCAATTCGTACAACCTAACAGCCCCCACTTGGGGGGGGGGCGGGGTGTGAAAGGACACAGGGCAGAGCCTGTGCTGAGCGCTCTCACTCACATCTCACCTGGTCAGCAACACTCCGGAGAAGGGGGCATTATTAGTCCCCAGCTACAGGCAAGGACCCTCAGGCCCAGAGAGGAGGAGCGACATGCCGGAGGTCACACAGCTCTGTGCAGAGCTGAGATTTGAGGCCAGATGGCTCACGCCCTGCCCCTCCGCCCCGCCGCCTGCCGGCCAGCGCCTTCCCTTTCTCCCAGATGACGTGGCTGCCCTTCCCACCCAGCCGGGCTGCCTCCTCAGTGTTTCTCAGCAAACATCCCTTAGCTCATAAGAATTAGAGTAATTGCGGTGTTTATGGAGCAGAGCTTACCTGTGTCCCGGGCGTAGCGCCAAGCACTTTGCACTCACTGTCTTAGTTAACCCTCATAACAAGGTTATGAGGTAGTTTCAATTATTAGCCTCATTTTAAAGATGGGGCAACTCAGGTCTGGAAGGACCTGGTAATTTGCCCAAGGTCACACGGGCCGCTGCTCAAGCTGCGGCTTCTCCCGGCTCTGGGCCGCCTCCCTCTCGGCTGAAGGCAGCAGTGACTGCCTGGTCTACGCGGCTCTGGGCCCAGAGAAACTCGGGACCTCTGGGGCACACAGAACTCGCCTTGTGCTGCCCGTCCTGAGTCTGTCCTGCTGCTTCAAGCTTGGAGAAGACTTCCCAGAGGCGCAGGGGGACGTGGAGGTTAAGGGAGGGACGGTGGGAGGATGCGGTAGGCCTGGGGGACTGAGGGCATCCCAAGCTGTCTCCCTGAGGGAAGAGTCACAGGAAGGCCCCTTCTGTAAACTCCGAGTGGCCCCACTCTGCCTGGGCAGGCTGGCTTCCCTGCTCCTCGTTCTGGCCTACTAAAGAACCAGACCACATTAAGAGAGACTCAAGCTAGACCACAGAAACACGTCCCATTCCCCGGGTCACCCAGTGGGGGGCGGGGGGGTTGCTACAGGCCCACGCAGAGTGGCCCCTGGGACCCCCCACCCCTGCCACCGCCCGGCTGGATTCCAAGTGCCCACAGGGACGGAGCTGGCAGCGAGCTGGGCGCCTGCCACTGGGATTTCCGCAACCTACCATACCCCTTCAGAGTACGGATCACCTACTGGGGGCAGCGGCTGCGCGTGAGTGCCCCTTCTGCTTTTGCTGGTTCTTTGGGCAGGGAGGGGCCGACCGCAGGGCTCAGAGCTACAGAGCTGCTGTGAGCGCACCCGTGACCCCAGCAGACTGGTGCCTGTGACACCACGCGGGGTCTGTTGCACAGAGGGGCGGCACTCTGGTCCCTGCACAGACTGCTAACTCCCAGAGCACACACTTAGGGGAGCTAGTGTGAGACCAGGCGAACGTGTTCCTCCTTGCCATTCTGACATCGGGCCCCATGGCCACCTTTAGAACCAGGAGAGCCACTGGATCAGAGGTGGGGACGATGCCCACTGCTGGGGTCAGGGGGTTCCGTGTGCAAGGGGCTCAGTCTTCTGTGCCCCTCAGGTGTCCCTGAACAGTGGCCTCACTCCCAGTGACCTAGAGAAGGTCTGCGTGGACACAGGGCCCCTGCTCTTGGCTCCTGGAGGTTTCTTTGGGGTCTCGGCAGCCACCAGCTCCCTGGCAGGTAAGGGTCCTCTGGGCAGGTGAGAGGTAAGAGCAGAGGAGTGTTACCTAATATCCCATGACCCGCCCTGAGCACACCCTCTAAAGAGCTGTGGGTGTGGGTCAGCGACTTCCTCTCCCTGCGGCCTGAAGAGTCATGCTCGAGCCCTCACTGGGCCTCTGTTACCACCGGGAAGCTCACGTTTGCCTCGCAGAGTTGCCCTAAGTCTCAAATAGGATAAAGCACAAGAAGTCTTTACTCCAAGGATGGCCCTATAGTTGCCCCTAGCTGGGAACTGTGGGGCAAGTGGAAGAGGGACATGAGGGACATTTAGGGGACTGGAGCAAAAGGACATAACATCATGAAGAGTCCACGGAGGAACCCACCACTGGAAATCCGGGTGCAATCTGAGAGTGGCAGTTCTTCAAGGCCAAGACTTTTGTTAGACTGTAGGCACTGGGGAGCCTTGGAAGGTTTGGGAGGAGGAGAGTGACATGGTCGGAGCCATGCTGAGGAGGCGGCCATTGTGTGGTTGCTTCTGTCAGTAACAGCCATGCTCTGGGGTCCGAGGGTGTCACTCAGCCTGTTGCTCTGGCTCTAGCCATTCACCACGGGCCCATCTTTGGCTCTGTGTGTGGGTCAACCCTCACAGTGCCCCCCATCTGCTTGTCTGACCCTCACACATTTCCTATGAAGTGAGCAAGATGAGGGCTAGAGTTGCCCAAAGTCACCCAGATCTCCTGCCTACCTGGAATGTAATGGAGCCTGGGGGGAGGGGGAGGGCTGAGTAAGTGGGCCACTGGGTGGAGGGGGCGTCTTCCTTTCCCTTCTCTCTTCTCTTTCCAGATGACCATGACATCCTGTCCTTCCTGACCTTCAGTCTGAGTGAGCCGGGTTTGAAGGTGATGCCAGCCCTGGGCCGGCCTTCAGGGGAGAGCTGGGGGAGACACAGCCCAGGGACACTTCCCTGCCCCAGATGCTTCTGCTCACGCCATGTGCAATCAGTCCTGTCATTCCAGCCTTTATCTCTAAGGCTATCTCTCTCTCTCTCTCTGAGCTTTGCTCAGACCAGGCCTTGTTTCGGGCAGCACTGGGGGCCAGAGGTGACCTAGAGCTAGGCCCTGTCCCAGAGCACGTCCACAGCTGTCTGGGGGTTGTAGGAGCACGGAAGAGCGGTCCTGACCCGCCAGGGGGAGCAGGGAAGGCCACCTGGGAGAGATGAGCTTGAAAGGGCAGAGACAGGTAGCTGAGCAGAGGAGCAGCGGGGACAAAGGTCTGAGTCCTGAGAGAGCTGCTGGGGCCCAGGCAGCAGCAGGAGGGAAGGCTGTGGGGACTGGCAACAGCAGAGCAGGACAGAAACTGCAGGGCCTGGTGGCTGAGCTGAGGGAGACCCAGCTGGGGTGCTCTAGGAGGGGGAATGGAGACCTTGTGGGAAAGCTCCCCACACCCGCCGATCTCCCATGGGTTTCAGGCCTGAGTTTTGTCTTCTTTTTCCAGCCTCCCCCCCAGCCCTTTCTGGAGATGGAGGAGCTCCGGCTGGTGAGGCAGCTGGAAGGGCTTTGGGCAAGGCTGGCCCTGGGCACCAAGAAGCATGTGATTCCACAGCAGAGCTCTGAACTCCAGGAAGAGGGTAAGGGAGAAGGGAGGTAGGGCAGGGTCCCATTTGAGCATCGCAGGGTCCTCTTCCCTTCAAAGCAGGAGCTTTTTAACTAATGGGGAGATGAAGATCTGAGGAGGCCATAGGAAGCAGACCCTGGGTCCCAGGAACTCTGTCCTATCCCCACCCCACCACCCAGACATAGCTTTCCAGGGGAGAGTCTAGGAGGCAGAAGCCATGCCTTTCTGCTCGCCCCCTCCAAGGAGCCCCCAAAAGATAGGATCTGCTACCCTGTCCCAGCTTACTGCCTGTTCCAGCTCTGCCCCAATCTCCAGGGGAAAGAAGCTTTGTGCTGGCAGAGACGCTGGGCAGACACCGCCAGACCCTGCAGGCTCTCCAGGGTCTATCTGAACAGCTGGCCCAGGCTGAGAGACAATGGAAGAAGCAGCTGGAGTCCCTAGGCCGCGCCAGGCCTATGGGAGCCTGGGTGAGTGGCCCCTTGGGCACCCATGGCCCTGCCTGCAGGCCTGGACAAGACAGCTCCCTCTGGGACTGGGTCCCTGCCCCCAGGGGGCTCCCTCTGTCCAGAAAGAGGAGGGAGCACTCTACTTAGGAACACATCTCCCCCAAGGTCTGGAGGGGAAGGAGAGCCAGGGATCAGTGCTGCAGGGGGCAGGGTGGGGTGGACCTGCCAGGCAGGGGAGCATGTGGGAGGGTAGCCCACAGATCCACGTGGCAGGGCTTGGGAGGGGAGATGCTGGGCATTTGGACGCAGGCTGTAGACATGTGCCAGAAATAGACTGGGTGCTAATTTGCATGTAGTTCCACATGTGATTTGGTTCACACATGGCTTGCTTCATGCTCAGATGGACCAGAATCCTCGTTTCATCCCCACTGCTCTCCTGGCTTCTCCTCCAGGGAGCCCTGTCCCATGGCACGCCCAGCCCGGGGCCTGAGAGCCTGGGACTCATTCAAGCTGTGAGATGCCAGGCAGAAGAGGCTTGTGGCTCCTGGGGGCTTGGCTGGGCTCTGGCAGCTCAGGTCTTTCATCTCGTGTCCTCAGGCCAGAGCAGCTGAAGCTGGGCTGCTGGAAGGGGGAAGTGGGGATGGGGCCGTACTCCAAGGCTAGGCCCAGAGCTCCTCCTGCCAGAGTCTATCCACCCCAGAGAGGGGAGGTCACTTCTCCAGGCCACACAGCAAGACAGAGGCCCAAGCACTGAGAGTTGTTCAGCACTGGTCCCATCTTGCACTGTGCCCCAGGCGGTGTGGGGGTAGGTAGCAGAGGATTGGACTGGGCCTCTGCCTCCTTCAGGGGCAGAACCACTTCTGCAAAGGGCAGAAAGCCCGTGACCCCCAGGGGGAGGGGTTTGAGAGGAAGAGGAATCCAGAAGCCCAGCTGGACAGGGGGAGAAACTCAATGTGTCAGGTCATGTCCAAACTGACAAGGGGCCAGGTAAGCTGGCAAGGCCTTCCAGAAGGAAGGGGCTGCAGTGTCCTTGGGGAAGACAGACTTCGGGAAGAGAGGGGCTGTGCTCTGGGCCCTAGAGGACAGGGCAGCATTCCTGCAGGACTTGGCCAAGGTCAGCACCTTGCTCCATGGACAGAGGACTCTTCTCCAGGACCTGCAAGAGATGAGGTAAAGACACCTGCCAGAAGGGGTCCGGGGGGGGGGGTGGAGCAGAGAAGCCCAGCTTCACCCACTTGCTCAGCCTCAAGTCCCTCCATCAGCCCCCTATTCATTTCCTCACTTCCTGAGTTCCTGAGCATCCAGCATGAAGTCTGACACATGGGGAGGGGCTGGGGCAGAGTTAGGTTTGTCCAGTGGACCTGAACTTAATTGTATCGAGTTTAAAGTTTGAAATTCCTAGTTTAAAAGTAACTCTCCCTGGGAAGAACCCCTCATGAGAGCCCCTATCAGAACCCCGTCTTCCCAGGGAGGGCAGGTAAATCTGAACCCTCCTTCAGTGACAGCTCCTGGAAGGACGGAATGTTTTTTGTTTGGCTGGTTTTTCGTTTATTTTTAAGATTTTATTTATTTATCAGAGACAGACAGAGCATAAGCAGGAGGAGCCAGGCAGGGGGAGAGGAAGAAGCAGGCCCCCTGCTAAGCAAGGAGCCCCACACGGGGCTTGAACGCTGGACCCTAGGATCATGACTTAAGCCAAAGGCAGACGCTTAACCGACGAGCCACCCAGGCACCCCACGGAGTGGATGTTTTAATGGCATTCTTGGAGGAACCTTAACCAAGATCAGGCCCAGCTGAAGAGGGGGCAGTCCCTGACTTCTTTTTGCCCCCCACCAACATCCCACCCTAGGCCAAGACTCAGGAGCTACCCATAGAGCTCTAGGCACAGGGAGGTCACCTTGATGCCATGGAGGAGGGATCAGGCTGGATGCTGGATTCTGGGTCCCTAACCCACATCTAGACACTTAGGGGTGGGAAGATGGAAAGAGGGAGAGGAACTAAATCCCCTGGGGACTGGGAATGGAAAGCAAAGCCCAGGGAGCCTAGAGTTGAGACAGACAACTTTAGGGAGACCTTCCTCTGACCTAAAGCTGTCTGGGGATATAGAATGAAGGTCTGGGGAAAGAAGACCAGCCCCTAAGAAGGGGCCCTATGGATGGTGTCTGTTTCCCTCCAGGTGCTGCCGTTAGGGATTATGAGAAGTGGTTAGGGGGTTTGGCTGCAACTAGAAGGCATAATGAGTCATCTCCCTTGGTTTCCATCCCCCACCAGGGATGCAGCTGCCCACGTGGCCTCAAGAGCCCAGCTCTTCTATCTGCCGGTAGGCACCAAGCATCATTTCTTAGAGCTGGCCCAGATCCTGAGCCTCCTGCAGAAGGAACTTCAGGGCCCATTGGTGAGTGGGAAGGAAGGGGTACCAGGAGGACCCCATCCTTGAGGTCCAGGCTCAGCCCCCTTCCTCCAGCACTGCAGGCCCTCCTCCCCTCATGCTCCCCTGTTGGGACTGCTGGCAGGCACACGTATGTCTGTGTCTGTGATATGCATGTGATCTTCTCTCTGCCCGCTCCGCTCTCTGGAAGCTCCCATAGCTCTCGATGCCAGCAGGGCCCTGAAGACCGTTGGCTCCAACCCCCCTCAGTGACCAGAAGGGAAATGGGAGTCCCCAGAGCTCAGCGGTGAAGCTCTCCCTTCCCTGTGCCCCATCTTGCTCTTACCTTTGCCCTCACCCTCACCCTCACCTTGGCTTTCACTTTCTACTTCTTTCTCAACTCTAGAGCCTTCAGAGTCCTGAAGATCCCAGGCCCTAGGCCTTCCCAGCTGTTCCCACAAACAGAGCCATGGGAGCTAGGGTGGGGGCAGCAGCTTTTTACTCTGACCCCTCTCCAAGTTCCCTGGATGAGAACCACGGTGCCTCAAGCCTGAGGGAAGGAATTAGAGCCCACAGAGAGCCCAGATTCCAGGTCCCCTTCTACCTTTGGGTAAGAAGCTGATCCAAGACTTTAGAATGTACCCTTTCAGAAAGCAGCAGCCAAGAACCCTCGCCCACCTGGCCAACTCCCAGGGACCTCCTCGTGCCTGCGGCCCAGAATGTTCTTGTTCTTCCTCCTCATTCAGACTGTTGGCTTCTTCTGTTATGTGCACTTCAGGTGGGTCTTCCCATGGGTAAGGCATCCTAATGCCCATCTGGCATCTCTTAATTCTGGGTCATAGCCACCCAATTTGAGAGATGGTGCATTGAGGCCCAGGAGGAATGTGCCTGGTCTACCAGCTGGCAAGGAGTGGCCCTCAGGCTAGGGCCCATTTTTTCTGATAGGCTCTACTGACCACCAGGTAGCTGCTGGCCCCATCTAAGTCCTGCCCTCACAGAACTCACTTGCTGGTGTGAGAAACTGACGGGTAACTGATAGTTTTGTGGTCAGTGCCATGATGGCAGGAAGCTCAGGGGCTATGACAGTACAAGAAAAAAACACTTGACCCAGCTTGGGGTAATAAGAGCATTGACCTGGAAGGGACCTTGGATATGAGTCATCAAGATAACTAGAAGTTTTCCAGCCTGTCAAGATAAGTAAGGGCATCAATGCAGAGAAAAGGCATGGAAGCATGAAAAAAGCACAATATTCTGGAGAAAAAGTGGCAAGTTCAGTACTGTCAAAGCAAAGTATGGGACCAGTTTGTGAAATTGGGCAAAGAGAATTTAAAAGAGGGAGGAGGTCACTAATTCTGAATGATCGGTGTTTGTGGAATGAATGAAACATTTAGAGATGGGGAGTGTGCTAAGATGCTCAGAAATGGGACTGACAGTCCTTATTGGTGAAATTTCAAGACAAGAAGAATCAGTGTGGTCTGGGGTGGTCCCGGGGGAGAAGTGAAGTGTGCTGAGCTTTAAAAGCAGAGTAGAAGAGAAGACAGCCTCCAGGTGAGAACAGCACAGGTACAAAGTGGAAATGATGACAAGCTTATGCATTATGTAGGCTTGCAATGGTGGCCATAAGGCTGGAGCTACCTGGACAGACCTTGAATGCCAGGGGAATAATGTGGTCCTGATGGGACAGGCCAGGAGAGCCATAAAAGGTCCTAGAAGAGGGGAGACTCTGGGGGAGAGATGCTAGAGAGGTGAATGTGGGAGGCTGTTCTTAAAAGCCCCAAAGGCAGAAATCCAAGTAACCTTCTTCTCCTTTCCCTGACAGTAGGCAGGAGCTGGACAAGAGCCTTTGGGACTGTTTGTCCACAGGCAGACCTCTGTGTCCTGCACCACGAAACCCTGGGGCCCTGGGGGTTCTGAGGAGGCAGCCTCTCTCCCTCAGCGTTCATGCAAGACTCACCTGAAAGCCCTGAAGGAGGGGGTAGTGTCTGGGGGTAAAGAGCTTAGTCAGTATTCTCTACTTTGGGTGCCCAGCTCCTGCTCACACCTTACTTTTGGCAAGCGCCAGTCTTATTAAAGGTGATTTACATCTCCCCATGCTTTGATATGCTCATTTACCTTCTGACTTCACCTTAATCTTTCTGAAGGCTTCCATTTTCTCTGGACAGGTAGCTGGCAGTGGGCTCCAAGCAGGCAAGGAGATCAAGGACTGACTTGATTACCAAAACCCAGATACCCCACAAGGCTTGAGCCCTAGAAGATGGAGGGAGAAGTCACAAACGTGTATAATTCTATCCCCAAATTCCTCCAGAACAAAGAGTGGTACCTCCAGGTGTCCTTCCTGGCTCAGCCCAGCCAGCATCACCACGAACAACCCTCTCCCTCTCCACTTTTTGCAGCTCTAGCGCTCAGCAGGGCTGGAGTTTGAGGGAGAACTCTGAGGCAACCCATGGGGACATAATTGGGATTCCCGCTTTCTGGTCTCCCTCTCTTTCCCAGCGTCCAGCTCATTGAGCAACTGTTGGGACAGCGGGCTGGGGAAGACGGGGTATGGGCCAGGGCAGGATCTTTGCCCCTTGCTACCACTTGAAAGAGCTAGCTGAAATCCTGGCTGTCAGCGACCTGAGAGGGGAGGGAGTGGGGGGAGACTGGGGAGCAGGGTTCCAGGCGCATCAGTGCAGCCCCTTTCCCTGGGGAGCGACGACCCCCCCCCCACAGGCCCTAATCCGTTGTCAGCAATGCCCAGGCGGAGCTTGGCGTGGTAGGAGGCACGTGGGGGAGGCGGGAGTGCGGAGCGGGCACGTGGTCCAGCCTCCTCAGCCCCGTGCATGCCCCCCGCCCCCCGTGAGGAGGGGTTTGGGGAGGTGGGGGCGGGCCTGGGCGGGGGGAGGGCGGCGGGAGGCTCAGAGCGTGGGGCGCCTGCCCGCGGCAGGAGCTGTCCGCGAGTCCTAGTGCTGAAGTAGGTGCGGACGTGCCTGGCTCCCGGAGCCCGGTGCCAGGGCCAGCGAAGACCATGGCGTTCATGGTGAAGACTATGGTGGGCGGCCAGCTGAAGAATCTCACCGGGAGCCTGGGGGGCGGCGAGGACAAGGGGGACGGGGACAAATCGGCGGCCGAAGCGCAGGGCATGAGCCGAGAAGAGTATGAGGAGTATCAGAAGCAACTGGTGGAAGAGAAGTGAGTGGGATCCTTTCCTGGCTCCAAAGACCTTCCCCCACCCCCTCCAGCCACCTGGCCGACCTCTAGGGCGGTTTCAGACCCCGAGTCCCTTACCCTACTTTTCTAGACACAGTAAGAGGCTGGCATGTGCTTTCTAGGCTGCTCCCAGAGCCACCCTATCTCAAACCCAGGACCCCGTCCCAGCTTCGCACTCCGGGCCTAGAGGGAGTGGGGGCAGGGGCAGAACGGACGTGGGATGGGGTGGGTGCACGTGCATTTCTGACGAAACAGGTAATCCCTTAATCCGATCTGGTCCTAACCGTCTCCATCTTCCAACTGGAGCTCCTCTGAGCCTGAGGTTCTGAGAAAAGCGATGCCGCTGAGGGGGGTCAGAGTCACGGAGACAGATCTTGAGATGGGGCATTCATAGATACTGAGTCTCAATGTCTACTTGTGTGTGGGCAGTGCTGGGACAGAGAGGCAGCTGGGGCTGGCCCCCAGAGCTAGACTGCTTAGGTTCAGATCTAGGTTTGTCTTCTTTTTAAATGGGTGACTTTAGACAGGTTACCTAAACCTTTCTGTGCCTCAGTTTCCTCTTCTGTAAAATGGGGGTGGTGACCATAAAACTTGCCTTATATATTTATAAGGATTAAATTATTTAACGCATGTAAACTGCATAGCACAATGCCTGGCACATGGTATATCATTAAACATTAGCTATTATTTCGCTTAATCCTGATAATAGTTTTGTGAGTTGCAAAAGAGGGAAATAAGTGGCGTACCAAAAGTGGCAATGCAGCCAGGACGCAAACCCAAGTCTGTCCCGAATACTTTCCCCCACACGACACAATCTGTCAGGAAGGGAAAAGACAGACGGAGTTGGAGGCTGCGAGAGACACATATTAGGGTCTGCAGAGTGAGCAAGACAGGCTGACGCTCCTGCCGGGAGAGTCCAGTGGCAGGTGCAGAGAAAGGGCCGCGATGATGTGGGGAGAGGCAGCAAAGACTGAGACCCAAGACCCGCCAGGTCGGAGCACACAGCTACAGCCGAGTCAGGCAGGATCGAAGCTGTTAGCGCCCCCGGGAAGGGATGCGCAGAGACCCCTTGGCCCTTCCCTCGCAGACCCCGCCCATTCTCTTAGCCCCTGAGATGACTCCGCCCCCGGTGCCCCCGCAGGATGGAGCGGGATGCGCAGTTCACGCAGAGGAAGGCTGAGCGGGCCACGCTGCGGAGCCACTTCCGAGATAAATATCGGCTGCCCAAGGTAAGCTTAGGAGCCCGGGCTGGTAGGTACATTGGGACCCCGAGCTTGGAGCTCCCCACTCTTTCTCCGGACTCTGGGCTCCGCAACTCAGCTCCTGAAACTCAGGGAGTTCTTGGTTGGATCCTTCTTTCTCAGAGGAAAGAAGACTCAGAGGCCAGGGCTTGGTGCTGCAAGGAAGCCCAGACTTCCCAAGACTGATAGGTTTGTGTTTCTGGAGCCAGTTCAGGCCCCTTCTCTCCCCCATGTCCCCTTACCCCAAACCCTAATCAGGCCCAGGCAGATGAAGAATCGGAAAGCAGTAGATTTTACCGCAAGGTTGAGTGCAAGGTTGAGGTTGAGTACTCTAGGAGCTCCTGCACACGGGGTGGGGGGGAGAGGGGGGACAGGGGCGGGGGGGAGAAGGGGGACAGGGACGGGGGTAGAGAATGCAGCACCCTCTGTGGTTCAGGCACTCGGTCTTCATCCCCTTATGTAGTCCCTCAATAACGTTTCCAGGTGGCTATCGCCCACACTACAAATAAGGAAACTGAGGCTCAGAGAGATTACAAGATGACAAGACCACACAACCAGCTAGTGTTGGAGCGGGGTCAGAGGTCAAGCCTGTGAACAGGGAACCTCAGGTTGCTGTAGGACCCCAGCTGCCATCCAGGGTAGGAGTCCCTCTGCAGAGAGCAAAATGCCCCTTGGTTGGTCAACAGCCAGATGTCTCCTACAGGCATTACAGCACTGGATGGGCATGGAATTGTTGCCTAAGGAGGAAAGTGAGGCACAAGGTACTCCCAGTGCCCAGAATCTTCCACTTAAATTAGAAGATCAGACATGTGAACATCACATTCACTCATTCAGCAAATGTTTACTGATCCCTTAGCTGCTTCTGACTCTCCAGAGGGCACCAGTCTCTCAGAGCGAAAACCAGTCTAGAAAGCCAGGAAATGTACTGAGTTAAACCCAGCTAGGAATGGAGTCATTGCTCATGGAGTCATGCTTCCACTAAGCCCGTTAAGAGACACAATTCCTGCCATCAGAAAACCTGCATCTAATAAAAGAGGCAAGACTGGGTGCCTGGGTGGCTCCGTCAGTGAAGCATCTGCCTTCGGCTCAGGTCATGATCTTGGGGTTCTGGGATCGAGTCCTGTTATCTGGCTCCCTGTTCGGCTGTGAGCCTGCTTTTCCCTCTGCCTCCGTCTCTCCCCCCTCAAGAGGGTGGGTCCTCTCTCTCTCTCAAATAAATAAAATCTTTTTTAAAAAGCTGGGGGGGAGGTGTAGAGGGAAGTCTTGGCTGTAATTGAGTAGGACATAAAGTGGAAAGGGCCAGGGTCCCCAAAGGGATAGAGAAATATGATGGCAACCAGTAGGTGTGCAGAGAGAGGACAGATATTTGAATCCATGATGTAGGTTTATTTTTTTTTAAGATTTTATTTATTTATTTATTTATTTGACAGAGATCACAAGTAGGCAGAGAGGCAGGCAGAGAGAGAGGAGGAAGCAGGCTCCCTGCTGAGCAGAGAGCCCGATGTGGGGCTCGATCCCAGGACCCTGAGATCATGACCTGATCCGAAGGCAGAGGCTTTAACCCACTGAGCCACCCAGGTGCCCCGTAGGTTTATTTTTTTAAAGATTTTATTTATTTATTTGAGAGAGAGAGAGCACAAGCAGGGGAAGAAGAGGGAGAGAAAGAAGCAGACTCCCTACTGAGCAGGGGGCCTGACACAGGACTTGATCCCAGGACCTTGGGACCATGACCTGAGCCGAAGTCAGCCCCTCAACTGACTGAACCACCCAGGCGTCCCCATGATGTAGGTTTAAAACAAGTGCCCCTGCTTCCTAGTTGTGTGACTTGCACAAGTTACTTAAATTGAGTAATTTGCTTACTTAAAACTGAGCCTCAATTTCCCCTTATTTGTAAAATAGAAATAAGAACACCTACCTCACAGGGGTATTTTGAATGTCAGCCATACAATAGGCACTTAATAAATGGTACCCATCACTACGATCAGTCCATCCTCCAGCGTAGGCAATAATCGCCAGCCTATGACCTAGCTGCCTGGAACAGTTTGACTCCTAAGCATTTCCATTTTGCTTTATTCGCTATGCGAGTGTCTTCGGTATCTCAGAGTGAAGTTAGGTGGTATAAAATGCAAGGCATGGAAGTGCGAGGTCCCCATGTCCCAGGTGTCCAAAGCTCGATCCTGGGATGTGGGGGTGGGGGCTGAGCTCACCGAAATGTGTGGCTCGAGAATCTAGGGGCTGGGAGCCCAGGCCAGGCCTCCCCCCGTCCCTTCAACTCTGGGTCTCCCTGGGCCTCCAGACCCACTCCACCTCCGCCCCTCTTCCCTTCAGAATGAGACAGATGAGAGCCAGATTCAGATGGCCGGTGGAGACGTGGAATTGCCCCGAGAGCTGGCCAAGATGATTGCGGAGGACACAGAGGAGGAGGAGGAGAGGGCCTCTGTCCTCGGGCGGTTGGCCAGTCTCCCTGGCTTGGACATCGGCTCACTCAAGGACAAGGCCCAGGCCACACTGGGGGACCTCAAGCAATCAGCTGAAAAGTGCCACATCATGTGACTACTCCCCCTGGGGTTGCCCACTGGGGTGACCAGAGGGCTGGGCCCACGTGAGGGCTAAGAGCATGTCTCAATGCCCAGGGACCCACACCCAATCTTAGTTTTGTTTCCCCCCCATCCCATGTTAGCTCAGGACCCTTCTCATCCATGGCCCAATCCTGCCTTCTGGTCTTTCCTTCTCCACTGGGACCAAAGTCCCCATTCCTCTCTTTCCCTCAAGACCCACCCTCTCTACTCAGCTTGGAGAGGCCTCCTAAGATTGTAGGAATATGCCCATCCCTCTCTGGCCGTGGCCCTAAGTTCCTGCACATGGGAGCGCCCATAGAGAGACCCAGAGAGACATGGAAACCATGGAAGCATGTACGGAAGCTTGGGCCACAGACGCATCCTGGCAAACACACACACACAGACACACACACACAAGCCAGCCCCTCTAGACACCAACACTCAGACATGCTTAGAGGGTTCTTTGGGCAGACACCCTCAGTAGACCAGAAGCCCAAGGTTGAGCCTCCACGTTCATTCTCCGTGAAAACCACTGTTCTTTTTGGTCCTCACTGCATCATCTCTAAAATGAGGATGGACTGGGTAATTTCTAAGACTCTTTCTGGCTTGGCCTCCTTGGCCCTCAGAGCCAACCCCACACTCTTCCTAGGGCAGGACAACAGCTGCAGCCATAGCCAGGAGTGGCTGCCGCTGTGCCGTGGGCTCTGGCTCTTGGGAGCTGAGCGATGCTGTGTGAGGGGCCGAGTGCCAAGGATGAAGCTGGCACTGAACGGTAGCCCAGGCGGCTCCAGGCCTTCTCTGGACCCAGGCCCAGGCAATTTCTGTTCTGTTGCTGTAGAACTCTCTCTGGATTCCATAGCTGGATCTCCTCTGTCAGCTCCGTGAAAAATAAAAATTTGAAATGATGTACCTGTCTTCCCACTTCTTACAGACCTCCAGGAATTTTGGGGTTAGTAGCCCCACAGCCCTCCTCACCCATAGCTTCATAACAATGCCAGCCTCTGTAAGATGTTCAAGCCCTACCCTTCTGGGCCCCTGGGCAAGGGCGGGGTTCCTGCACTGATGGAAGTTGCCAGGTCCAGCCTGGGGCTGGATGAAACAGGTCTGGGCTTTGAGGAGGGTGTGGTAGCTAGCTGGATGGGGGTGCACGTGGACAAGGTAGGGACTCTAAGGCCATTACTTGGGACCCCAGGAGGGGCTCTGGTTGATCACAGCTGTCTCTGGCACCAATGCCTATCCCCCTTCTCACCTTGGAGATGGAAGGTATAACTAAGAGAAGGCAGGACAACCGCCTCCCAGTCTGGGCACCGCTGTATGGCTTTGAGCAGGTCTCTTTCCCTCTCGGAGCCTATTTTCCCTGCTGTGCAATGAAGAACTAACCCCTCCTAAGTAATAAGGTTTCAAAGGATGATGGTTTGTAAAGCCTTTGCCGTGTGGCAAACTATCAACAAATGACAACTGATTCCTTAGAAAACAAAGACAAACAAAAATAAAGAGCCCAAATCTCATCCTACTTACTCGTAGGGAGGGGGTCCAGGAAACCAACCGCAAGCTGGCCACCCCAGGGTCCTGAACAGCAACAGGGTGCTACAGACCATGCCCCAGTGTCCCTGCCTGGGACCAGCCTTCAGAAGCCAACCAAGGTTTACAGGCAGCATGGCTACAGGAGGGCTTGGTTTCAGGGCTAAGTTTCCACTGGGCTTCCCTTGTAGAATAAGAGCAAGAAACATAAAACCTGTTCAGTAGGTAATGTGGGGAGAAACAGGTGGAAGAAGGAGGAGAAAGAGAGGATGAGGAACGAGGAAGGTGAAGACAGGGAGGGACACAGGCCCAGGACGGGAAGAGTTGAGCTATCACGCCAAGCCTCCCAAGCATCTCCCAGGAAGGAGCCTGGGCCTCTGAGCTGCTCCTAGGCTGCCCCGCTGGGCGGTCTCTGGACAAAAACCCCTCCTGACCTTCCTGGAGCGGGAGGAGACCCAAGCTGGAACCCCAGGCTGGGTGTGTGTGTGGCGGGGGGAGGTGCGTGGGCCTCCTCGACCGCGTCAGCAGCAAGGCCCACGTCAGCACTCCACCCTCCAGGGGCCTTCTGCTTAATGGGATTGGACAGACCCTTTTTCCCTCAGTGGTTTGCAGGACCCAGATGAAAGAGGCAGAGAGTCAGGCCGTGGGGGAGGCTGGGGGTTAACACTCACTGAGTCCTCACAAACTGAGCTGACTGGGACTGGGGTCTGGGGTCAGGGGGTGGGGGGACTGCTGAGCCTCCACACTTGTTTCCTCCTCACACTGGGAAACCTCAGGAAGCCCTGGTCTGTCTGTGTGTCCCTGCACTGGAGGGAGATGGCTCTGGGGCAAAAGGAGCCAGCTCTGGGGCCCAGGCAGAGGTGGGCAAGGAGGACAGGCTGAGGGGTCTCCAGACTCTGCTGGCCTCTCCCTGCCTCCCCTCTTCCTTCCCCTGCTTTCAGGGCTTCTCTGCTAGTCCATGTCCTTCTCATTTGTGTCCCCCACCCACTTCGACCTTGTTCCTGCCTCCTACCTGGCCTATACTCATACCCTCAGGTGGGGGGCCTCCTCTGTACTTGCCCCCAGTCCCAAGCCCTCAGGGCGTGTCTACGGGACTACTGGCCCACTACTCTCTCCCTGGCTGGTTTCTGCTTCCACTTATTCACACAGTCACTTGGTCTGTGACTGGTGCACCCGCCTGGTGTGATGCGAGGGCCACAGAGAAAGCCACTTGCCCCCCAACTTCCCTTTTCCCAGCCATTAAAACCCTGCCATCAGTACAGCGTAGTCTAGAGTAAATAATTTACCTCCCTGGCCTTTTTCTTTCTCCTGTTTTTTCTTCCCTCCTCCCTTCCTCTTTCTCAAGCTGGCAGGCAGTCTGAGGATACAGGAGAGCTTGAAAGGGGGTGAAACAGCCTCCGTGTCCGGATCCCCTCCGCACTTTCAGGAAGAGAGGGATGGCAAAGATGGCTGGCCTGCTCCCCTCACTCCACCCCCATTCTCTGGCCCTGTAATCTGGGCGATTTCAGGAAGATTGGTGACCCTGCCCTGCTCCAGTCCCCTTCTTCTGCCTTCTATCTACCCAGACAGCTCAGGCCTGGTTGTCAGAGGGAGAGGGGCGCAGAGGGAAGCAGTGACTTTCCAGAGGCCAGCTGGTCCCCAGGGAGGATTTGGGAGGGTGTTGGGGTTTGGAGTTCAGCGGACTTCCCCTTCCCCCATTGGCCAGATGGTACCTCCTCAGACACAGATGCCCCCTGGCAGGCACTGGGGACATCTGGGAGAATGTTCGCTTGCTGAGCCCGAGGTGCCGGCAGTGCCTGTTGACCCAGCTGATGCCTGAGGTTGGGTTACGGCCGGGGGGCTATGTGAGGGGAGTGGGAGGGAGCCACAGAGCCTGCTGCCCTGCCCCTGTCCCCGTGCCTGGGGGCAGAACTGTTCCCAGAATCCTACGGGGCAAGGCTCAGGAAAAGCAGGGGAGCTGGGGTGGGTGAGCTGGGGGAGCAGTGGAGTTAAGGGTGCCTCAGCCTTATTCGCAGGACTTGTGCCTGTGTGTGTGTGACCACGAGTGTAAGTCCATGTCTGCACGCGTCTGTGAACCTGAATGTGGCTTTGTTGTTTTTGTGTGTCTGCTGCCCATGGCCTGTTAGTGTCTGTGTGTTAGTGTTTGTCTGTGGGATTTCAAGTATGGGTAGGGGTTACTCTAGAGAGGTGATGTGCCCTCCCCTCCTGTCCCAGCCTCAGAACTGGGCCATCTCCCATGTCGGGGCTGGGACAGCAGCTGGCTTCTGGGGACTAGAGTTCTTCTAGGTAGGGGCGCCTGGGTGGCTCAGTGGGTTAAAGCCTCTGCCTTCGACTCAGGTCATGATCCCAGGGTCTGGAGATCGAGCCCTGCACTGGGCTCTCTGCTCAGCAGGGAGCCTGCTTCTCCCCCTCCCCTCTCTCTGCCTGCCTCTCTGCCTACTTGTGATCTCTGTCAAATAAATAAAGTCTTAAAAAAAAAAAAAGAGTTCTTCTAGATGACCTCCTGCAGGAACCAAAGTTCTTGGTCCTTCCACTTCTTCCTACTTAGCAGAAGAAAGGGCAGGCTGAGCACAGGGAACACTCAGTCTGCTCCAGTGGCCCATCTGCTGCTCCCAGGGCTGGCCCCTTGGGAGGCAGAGGGACCCGAGGCTCAGGGGCTCCCCCAGCTCGGCCCAGTGCTGGCTCTGGGCTTGGGGAACTGAGTGTAAGTGGGAGGATGGGGTGGGTAAGGCATGCAAACGTTGGGGCATGTCTGCTCTGTTTTTGCGCACTTTCGAAGTGTTAAATGTGAGAGACAGAAACTCGCTCCTAGGAGGAAAAATATGTATTTTTTAAAGCAGATTAGCATATTTCCTATATGTCTCCACCATTCGAAGAGAACCCTAGAGCGAAGCCCACCTCCTCTGGCTGAGCTGCCTCCTTCCTTGGCAGGTGGCTTAGACACGACCAGCCTGTGGCCCCAGAAGTTTCCTTCCCCTGGACCTCCTCCACTGGCCTCAGCTTCCCTGGCCTTTCCTGTCCCTGAAGTGGGACCCTCCTCCCCACACCCATCTGTAGGAGTTTTGGGCTCTTGTTTGGGCACAGTCAATGGAGCACAATGCAGACATCACATACACACAGTGGGGTCCACGAGCCAGCGCTTGAGCCCATTATCCTTCTGTTCAGTTGGTCTTTCAAGCCCGCCCTTCCTTATTCCCACTCTCCCTCCCATCCAGTCTTCTCCATCCGCCCGCCCACTGGGTCAAATCACTCTCCTTCCCTTCCCTCATTTTTCTCATCGAGGCTTTCTTGAGCAGCCCACTCCCAGAGATAATCTGAAGTACATTCCTTTCCCTAAATCTGAAAATAACATTGTGTTGAACTTGTACTGTGCCAGGCTCACATACAGGAACTCCTTTCATCCTTACAAACCACCACCAGCCACTTACCTTCATCCTCATTTTACCAAGAAACCAGCTAATGGGTCCCAAGCTTCAGGGCCAAAGGGCAGAGCCAAGATCTTGGTCATGCCTTCTGCCCTCTAGACCACTGCTTGACACTGCCCCCTAATGGCCAGGCCAAGGGTTTGGGGGGGGGGAATTAGGACCCTCCCAGTACGGAAGCCCTTCCCTGGCCACACTGGAGGCCCCTCAAAGGGGGCAGCTCCTCCTCCCATAACTCCCCAAAGATGCTCCTGGCTGCTGTTCAGACCAAGACATGAAAGGGGGAGAGCAGGCTGATGGAAACTGTTTCAGCTTGGGGGCTGGGGAGCTGGGTTTGGGCACTAGACCCTGGAGAGAATGGTCACTGCTCTGGCTCACTGCTGACTCACCAGTCCAGGGGACAAGGGCACGGGGAGGCCCGGGGCCTTCCCTGCTCTCCCTCAAGTTTCCCAGCATTTCCTGGGGTCCCTCCAGCCCCAGCCTGTGAACCAGGAGATACCCTCTCTATTTTTTCCAGGGCAAGAAGAGAAGCACAAGTTCAGAAAATAATTTAATAGAGAAACCATGAATTACATTCTTTATACTGAGCCTCCTGCAAGGAAGACACCTCCTGTCCCAAGGAGGCACTAAAGAGCACAAAGGTTACGTATCATCAGCACCCTTGTGGACTTTTAAAAAAGAACTCCCAAATAACTCCACTGGGTGAACATTGTTTTCTAGATTAAAGTCACTTTGTCCTCTTAAAAGCCCATGTCAGGGAGCTGAGGAGGTATTAACAGCGCCACTGGAGAGCTGGCGAGATTGGGCCCAGAAAGGGGAAAGGACTTGCCCAGGGTCACACACCGGGGGGGTAGCAGCAACATCAGACCCAGAACCAGGTCCCGGGATTGCTGGCTCTTTCTCAGGGGGTCTGGCAGCCTCCATGCCTCCCCACTCCAAGCCCGGACCAGCTCTGAGGCAAGTAGG